GTTTGTTATTTGTGGTATATTTTTTTTACAACAGCCCAGAGGACTAATACGTTTATTGGCCATTGTGATTTCTTCTTTTGTGAACTGTTTATTCATATATTTTGCCATTTCTCTACCAGATAGTTTTTCTCTTATAGAGAAACAGTAATTGTTTCTGAACTGAATATTGGTTCTTTTTAACTTACATGCATTGTGAATGTATTTCCATCCTATGGGTTTTCATCTTTACTTTGTTTATTGTGTCTTGTGATCCACAGGAGTCTTTACTTTTAATATGGGTAAAATTTATTAACTTCTTTGTTTAGAGTTTGGGCTTCTATGTCTTAGAAAATTCTTCCCTATCCCTAAATCATAAAGATAATGTGCGTTTCACATTTAGTCCTCTAACCCATTTGGAATTAATTTTTGCATGATTTGAAGTCATAATCCAAATTTTCCCATACAGATAATCAAAGATCCCAACAGCATGTCTTTAACAGTTTATCTCATCCTTATTTCATCACTTACTGTTTTAATGCATAAATGGATAGATTTTATAATTTTTAAATTTGCCCATGTCAAAAAAAAAGGTTGCAAGGGTAGGCAAAGTTCGATCATAAGGAGGAATTAATTTTGTAAATAATGAGAAACAATAAAAACTTTTAAGCAGAAAAATGCCACAGGAAGAAATGTGTTTCCTAAAGATTGGCAAAACTTAAAGTCTGACAAAAACAAGTATTATGATAATATAGAGCAAAAGAAACAGACACCCACCCTGCTGATGAAGGGAAAATAAACTACTGTAACACCAAAAAGGCAACTTGATAACATCTCGTAAAGCTGAAGATATGCATATTCTACAGCCCAGCAATTCCATGTCTACTATTTATCTCCACAAAACTCTTATGCATTCATGAGGAGACAGATATAAAAATATTTACTGTAGCATTGCATGTTAAAATTGAAAAACTGGAAACAATCTAACATATATCAACAGAAAGAAATGAGTATATAATGGCATATTAATATATTATAATACCATTTGGTAATTAAATACGTGTTATCATGAATAAATCTCAAAGACAATACTGAACAAAAAAGGCAAGTTCTTGAAGATCCAAACTGCATAATACTTATATAAAGTGAACATGTCTATGTTTTATTTATAAATATACAGAAATGTAGATAAAGAACCAAATCATGGATGAGAATAACACTAAATTCAGGATAGTAGTTACTCTTGGGAAAGAAGTGAAAGGAACAGAATCAAAGCATCAATAGGATCATTATTGTTTAATACAAAAATATATAGATCTGAAGCAAATACAGTAAAACATTAAGACTTGACTAAGCTGGATTATGGGCATATGAGCATTCATTACATTATTCTCTCTGGTTTTCTAATAAAGAAAAGATTACTTTGGTGGCAGTAAGGAAAATGGACTGGAGTGGAGTGAATTAAAATGGAAACAAAGAAGGCAATTATAATACTTTTGAAATCTAGTGAGAAATGACAAACAGTGACAATGAGGCTAAAAAAGAAACAGGAGAGAATAGTAGACCTGAGAGATATTTAGAAAATAAAATCAGCAGGATTAGGTGGCAGATCAGATACAAGATATAAGTGCAAAGGCGAAATCCTGGGTTCAATGTCATTCTTTCTTAAAAAAGGGAAGAAAAAAGGTTTTAAAAGATAGTGAGTTTCTTTTTTGAATTTGTTAAGTTTGAAGGACCCATTCAATACTCTAGTAGAAAGATTCAATAGAATGCAATATACAAAGTGGTTATAGCACAGGCTCTGGAGTCAGTTGTCCTGGGTTCAAATCCACTTAAACACATTAATTAACCACTCCAAGCCTCAGTTTTCATGTCTATAAAAAGGGAGGATGTTAATAAAATCATTATTCTTATAGCATTTCTGTGAGAACAAAATTAGATAATGCCTCTCAAGTTCTGATCAAAGTATTCAACACAAATATTACTCAATAAATTCACACAGCTACGACTGATGAACACTTCTTTCTCATAGTACTTACTTCTATCACATACATCACTTAGAACTCTTCAGTGATTCCATTTTTGTTCCTGGAGCACTGATTTCCATAAATGATATTCTGTTGTATAGACAGGCTTTTATAACAATTTCAAGATAGTTGGCATTATACCTTATTTAGAACTGCTGAATAATTTCACTTGTCAGCATCATTTTCCAACTCAAGAATAAACCTTTTTTCATTGGAAAGTATTATACATGAGATTTAGGCCTAATTCCTATAGAATTCTACTACATATATACATTCACAAGTAGAAAGCATAAAAACAATATGCCAGACCCTTGGGGTTGATAACAATAAACAAGGCAGAAACTGTGCTAACCAAATTATACTCTATACATGTTTACCAACAAATAATTACAATGGAGTGTGATAAATGCTAAAATATGGGACAAACGGGTACTACAGAACACAGACAAAAAGAATTTTCCCAGAATTTGAGAGTTAAGAAGGGAATCCTAAAGGATTAGGTTGTCTCGATGTGAGGGATAAATAGTTAGTAGAATAAGGCACCAAGGTGAAAGTAGGATTTTAAAAAATAGTGTCTGAAGCAACATGTTTTCTCCTAACACTTAGAACTGACAGAGAGCATAGTCTATTAAAGAAGCTAACAAAAGTTTAGCACACATACAGCATACAGTGTAAGTACAGAATACCGGAGCATGAAGCTGGTGACATGCAGAAAAGAGACTGGGAGGAACCTTGCAAGTCATACTCTAAATGATACAATTAAATGAGATAATGCTTAAAAGCGCTTCGCATAGTTCCTGGTACAAAATATGCACACACTAATTGTTAAATATTATTCACTTACTACTATCTAATACTCTCCCCTTACTAGGCAGGAGGATCGCTTGAGCCCAGGAGTTTGAGGCTGTAGCGAACGACGGTCCTGCCACTGTTCTCCATCCTGGGCATCAGAGCAAAACTCTCTCTCAAATACACATGCACATGTGCATGAACACACACACACACAAACAAATATTCTCCCCATTATGCCACAATTTGGAATCAAACAATACACTCACCAAGAAATATTTTCCACCAATATTTGTCTTAGTTGGTTGCCAGAAAAAGATGATACTTACTAGGCATCATAGAGAATGTGTTCTTTCATTAGGAAAATGGGAACAACAATACCAACCTTACAGGTCTACTACAAGGAATAAAGTAAGTTTGAAGAGTTCTTAGAAGAGTGACCCCCAGAAATGATTCCAAGTAAGACAGACTAGCAGACAAATCAGAGATATAGAAAAGCTGGAAGCTTTAGCTTCACTTTGGGGTTATGTGATAGGAATGCCTTAGAAATAAAGTCATTTTAGGACTACCTCCCTTTGGTAATGGGGTAAGATGCATGCACCATAACTATTAAAGTTACAATAAAATGAATCAATACCATTCTAATGATGTGTTTACTTTTTTGTAACATACATGCTTTTTTAAAAACTAAAAACTAGTCTTCTGTAATTTGCCTTTTTCACAATGACCCTGTATTAAAAGTTTTATGTGTGTGTGTGTGTCTGTGTGTGTGTGTATATAAAAACAAAAATTTTTAAAAAAACTTCTGAAATCCCATTGTCCTAAAACAACTAGTCCACTTTACATATTTCTTTCCAAGTACTTTAAAAACAATAATTAGAAGGTTTTTCTACTCCTCATCATACTGTTCTAAGACTAAAATCAAATGGATATTAGATTAGTAGTACTCACTTTTGCAAAAGCAAAATAACAAAATTTCCAGGTATATTAGACAATTTGTCATAATTAGATTTATATCCAACCTTCAAGAAGTACTTCTGCCATTTAAAAGAGGTCCCCTGTAAAAATTTTAGAGCACGTAATTTTTGTCTGATTCTCATATGTCTTACTGACAACCTAAAACATTTATTAATACTTCTAGCTACTCCTTTTGGTTCCAAATAAATCTTACTCATTGGCAGCTAAATTCTATGAAGATTTTATTGATATTAATCCTAAACTGCAATAAAATATCACAATGCTTTCATAAGAGAAGCATCAAGCTGCATCATTTCCTTAACAGGTGAAGAAAATTCTACCTGGAATAAACTAAAAGATGACCTTAAAACCAAACAGATATTTTTTCACACTACTATACGATTATTATTACCAGAAAATCATAAGTGAACTGAATGTTAAGTTAAATTTCCTAAGATAAAAAAAACTCAATTGAGTATAAAAAACTTGTTTTAGAATTTTTAAATATGGAATCCTTCAACATTACTAAAATTATAAATTCAAAGGAAATAAGAATATCCTCAGGACTTCTTATAGAGAATGTTTTGGAAAGTTATCATTACAGAAAGAAGAAAAAAAATCTCATGAATCTTAGTGTCACAAGTATAACTAAATATCTGGCTTAGTGTTCACATAAATGCACTCAATAATCCCTCATTAAACCTCAAAATAAAGTCATTCAGATTTGCTGATGCTAGACATCAATTATTATACTATGAGCATTCCCTACAATAAGGTTATTTAATTGCAGCCTCTTAAGGACACATTCTCCTAGTTCTCAATATTTAACAAGTAAAAATGCCAAGGAACGAGTGAATTATACTGGAAATCACATAAATAAATGTCAAAAAAAAAAATCCCAGAACTATTAAAAGTTCTAAGCTACTAAAAGAGCAAAGTTTATGTTTTTAGTCTTGAAATACAATACGATAAGGCAAAATCCATTAGTGTTTAAAATAAATATTTAGTGACTATCCATGTAAAAAATATTTACTACCTCTCTGCCAATCAATCTTCAAAGAAAATAGCAAATCTATAGAACAAGCAAATTAATCACACTACATTTCAATACCAATTCATCAATTGATTTCAATTGATAAAATACACTTCTTATGTAGAAATTTCCCAAATAATATAATTTCACCTTGAGGCTTTTAAGCATACATCTTTCTTCTACTCCAATAACATTTTTAAAAATCTCTAGTAACCTACCTTTGAGGTTCTTTGAAGTTGATCACCAACATATGTTTTACGAAACTGATCCAAGAACCACAAAATTGCAAGCTCTATCTTCTCATTAGAACACTGAGGCAATCCGGAATCCATTAAAGATATGAGCTGAAAAACTCTTTTCATGAAAGAAAGAAAGAAGCTTCAGTACAAAAATCTTAGAGAAACAACATTAAAACATTTATCATAAATGCAATATAATATATAATCACTGTAAAAAGTGAGAAAATACAAAAGCATATTCAAAAAATATTTTTAAAGCATCTGAAATCCTAACAATGAGAGATAACTATAATTTGGTCTAATTCCTTCTAGCCTTTTTTTCCTAAGACATACACAGGAATACAAACCCATATATGTATACACATACAGTATTTTACTAAAAATTTATATATAAATGCACGGCATACAGATAAAAATATTATACATATATATAAGTAAATATATATGTATACATAAGTTTTTAGTAAAAGAATGGTACTGAATGTGCAGTTTTGTATTTCACTTTTTTACTTAATCTTATATTTTAGTTAATCTTATACTTTTTACTTAATCTTATTTAGAAATAATTAAATATTCTGAGATCACATGGCTCAATATTTTTAAAAAGTCAAGAGATACACCTATCAAAAGTTTGATACACGACTCTTTTTTTTCTTTTTTTTGAGACAGTGTCTCACTCTGTTGCCCAGGCTACCTCACAGCAACCTCAAACTCCTGGGCTCAAGCAAACCTCTGTCTCAGCCTCCCGAGTGGCTGGGACTACAAGCATGAGGCATCATGCCTGGTTAAGTTTTCCTATATATTTTTAGTTGGCCAATTAATTTCTTTCTATTTTTAGTAGAGACAGGGTCTTGCTCTTGCTCAGGTTGGTGTCAAACTTCTGACCTTGAGCAATCCTCCCACCTTGGCCTCCCAAGAGAGCTAGGCACTCTCTTAATAAGTAATAAAGTTTTACCTGAAATAAACTACAACATGATCTTAACAAAATCCAAACCTTCTAACAGTAGTTAAACTACTATTATTAATTATAAGAAATTCATAATTTTCTACTTATTACTAAAAATCATTATTAGAAAATCACAAGTGAACTGAAGGTTAAGTTAAATTTCCTAGAGAAAAAGCTTAATTCAATATAATGAAAAGCTTACTCCAGAATTTCAAAAAAGAAATCTATAAACATTACCTATTTTCATTAAAATTTTCTGGTGGAGGCTGCCAAGTGCTTTGCATGAACAAAATCAGTACATTATAATGATTTTTTAATAGCAGTTAAGGTTATTGAGAAAGCATCACCCGTTTCTAATTTGCATAAAGGCTATTCCTAGATATGACACATCCAGTTCCTTCCAATGTATGCCCACATGAACATATACACATTCATTGTTAACAGTTTATGTGTCATTCCAGAGAAGTTTTTATATATGTACAGGCAAATATGACTATAGTCTCCTCCCAAACCTTCTGAACACATGGAGCATACCCATACATATATGGTTCTAAGCCTAGCTTTTTCCATTTAGCAATAAATCTTAGAGATCTTCCTATGTTAGATATAAAGAGATTTCTCATTCTGTTGTGCAGCTGCTCAACATTCTACTAAATGAATGTACCATATTTTCAAACATTCCCCTACTGATAGACACTAAAGTTGTTTATAATTTTTGCTATTATAAAAATGTTGCAATTAGCAATCTTGTACACGTCATTTCACATTTACATATTTATAAAATATAGTCCTAAAAGTCAAACTACTAGATCAAACAGTTTAAACTGTTATAGTTTTGATAACTATTAACAAATTGTCTTCCATAAAAATTGAAACAACTTATACTTCTACCAGCAATCCATGAGAGTGCCTATATACACACAGATAATTCAGGATGATACAAAAACCTCAGATTTTCTGGAAATCTGAAAAATGGCCCCTCAGTATAGTTTTAATTTGTATTTCCCTACATATGTGAGCTTAAAATTTTTCCATGTTTTTAAGCCCTGAGTATATCCTTTTCTGTGACCTGTTTGCTCATATCTTTTGCCATTTTTAGCTACTGGGGTGTATTTTTATTACTGATTTGTACAAATTCTTTATATATTATTAGAGAGCTGACCCCTTTGACTATAATTATACCGACCTTAAATTTGTTTTATTGTTTTCATTTGTCTCCTGATTTTGATTACAGTTTTTTAATGCCATGTAGCAGTTTTTGTTGTTTCTCTTACACAAAAAAATGTAATAATTTTTTCTTTTATGGATTTCATGTAACAGCAAGGTTTTACCTGAATCTAAGGTATTTTTATGTTTCTTTTATTTTTCTTTTGACATTTACCTCTATGATACATTTGGACTTATCTTGATATATATTAATAGTGTGCAACAAAGATCCAAGAGCAGTTTTTCCAGATGGCTAACTAGTTGATTTAACATCATTTCTTTCTTGTATAGTTTATCTTTTGCTCACCATTCTGAAGTACCTGTTATCAAATATACTAGTATACATTTATGCATTCAGATTACTTATTGGACCTTTTATTATTTAGCATCTTACTAAACATATCTTGACCAATTTTTCTGGTAATACTAAATAACTTTCCAAAGCATTATTTTTAATAGTTACATAAAATTAATGCTATGTCAAAATTTAATCATCTTATTTTGAATAAAAATTCTTACCTCTAAATGAAACATAACTTTTGTCCTCTCTCTATTCCCAGAGACTTCTAGAAACAAAATGTCTAGGTCACAGCATATGAACTTTATAAAATACTTGGTGAGTATTATCAAAGTGTTAAGAAAAAAATATTTTGAGGGGGGGTGAAAAATGGCAGAGTAGAGGTGACCTCCTGGCTCTCTGCTCCCAGAGAAAGAGGTGAAGAACTTGGATGGCTACACACGAGTGGATCGCTCCCCCCAAGAACAGCATTGTGAAACTGCAGAGAAACAGCCTAGGTCACACAACACAGGGGGAAAATAAAGGTGCATGGGAGATACAATCACAAAGTCTGGAGAGTGCCAGATAAACAATAGAGACTACAACGTGGAATGGCGGTGCCTGCCTGGCTACCAAGTGCAGTGGGATCTGACCCAGAGGAGAATGTCCTGCTCCCCCACTGACCTCCACACCCACTCAGACAGGGATGTGCCTGAAGCACCAGACAGCAGGCTCTGTGGAGAGCGGACAATAGCGGGAAACATCTTGAACTCCCTGTGCTCTGTGCTGAGACTGCACTGGGCAGGGCAGGGACTTGTCTGAGCCACCGCTCAAGGGAGTTAGGAAAAACGCCTTGCCTCTGGTGGTCAATGGGTCCAGAACAAAGGAAGTGAAAACGGAAAAGGGGGTCTACCCTGGAAATCACTGATGATTAGGCCAGCTCAGGGCGGGTCAGAAGAGCAAGACCTCCTCCCTGACATGCACAAGATTGCAGGAGGGTGACACACAAGAGACAGCAGGCGTCCTGTTGACTCAGCTCCCCATCCGGCATCCGCCAACTCCTGAACAGTCGCCCCCAGCGCTAGTGCTCTGCAGGTGGGCAGCTGCCATTTTTGGGGTCCACAACCTGGATGCTGTGGCATGCTATGGTTTTGAGCAGCACCCCTCCCCTAGCTTGGGGACTCTCATGCCATGTGCAACAGGGTCCATCCTTCCCCAAACTATTGATTCATTCAGCTAGCAAGGCCTGTATCAATGGGTGAATTTTGAGTGCTTCCTCATAAGGCTAGTTCCCCAGTGGAGGGAGGCCAACCCCTTGGGGATTCCTAGGCAATGGGGTGCTGGGTGGTCTTGGGCATCACCCCTCTCCTAGAGCAGGGGCTTTCACACCAGGAGTGGTGGGCTCTGCCTCTGGAGGTAAGGAGAAGCAAGAAAAGCCACTTTCCCTGTGTGACTGGCTAACCCCTTGGGGATTCCTAGGCACTGGGGTGCTGGATGGTCTTGGGCATCACTCCTCTCTTAGCACAGGGGCTTTCATGCCAGGAGTTGTGGACTCCAGGAAGTAGGGAGAAGCAAGAAAAGCCACTTTCCCTGTGTGACTGAAGTGAATCTGCGGGGCCTTGGTGCAGATCAATAATTGACAACCCAGTGATTCGCCCCCTGGACTGGCTTAGGTCATCTAATAAGATCATAACTCTAGGGCCTGCTCTCAACATCCAGAAGGCTGCCAACAGTGGGGTTCGTAGTCAGGGAAGGAAAATCCCAGTCAGAGACCCCAGCAGGTATACCAAGTAACCTCTCCCATCAAGAGCAGCCTCCCAAGCAAGGTATAAAGAACCCTGCATAACATATTAGTGGCTCCCCCTAGTGGCAGATCAAGCAACCAAAGAAGTACTCACATCCAGGCTGGTAGGCAGCAGCTGTGATCTGCCTTGCTCCTACCACCACTTTAAGCAGGAACAGAGTCCAAGTAACCCTCAGGAGGGGCAAGACCCTTCCTAAAGATCACGGCATTAATATTCCTCACTCGAGGACCAGAGACCAACACAGAGGCATCAGATGACCTCAATAACTGGCTCCTCCACGCAATCTACAATCAATGACAGAAAGGGTAACCCCATAGCTTAACACAATGCCCTCCATATCAAGCTATTAGAGGCCAATGGAGTTATACACACAGGTGCGATTCACCATGTGGGATCTTAAGCTGGGGGACCAAGCTCACTAATCTCCACTGGCAAGAGGTGAAGGCAACAGGTCAGAGGTAACCCAACTTGCCAAAATACTTCTAATACAAGACCTTGCACCTCCTCCCACCACTGTCAAGGAACGTCCCTTGGGGGTTTGAAGTTAAGGCCACAAACCAGTCCTAATACTTCCAGACCTTAATCAATAACCCCAATAAGAAAGAACAAGAGAAAGAATCCAGTGAATATGAAACAATGGAGAGAAAAGTCACCCCCCAAAGAAATCATAAGACCCTCAAAATGGGTTACTAATGTAAATGAAATTATTAAATTGATGGAAAAAGAATTCCAAATATGGATCTTAAGGAAATTCAATGGAATTGAAGAGAAAACAGAAACCCAACACAAAGAAGCCATGAGAACAATACAGGAAATGAATGAAAAATTATCTAAAGAAAGTGAAATATTACAAAATAAACCAAACAGAAATCCTGGAAATG